ATGTATTTATTTTTGGCTGCTTTGGGTCTTTGTGGCTGCGCGCGAGCTCTCTCTAGTTGCGGCGAGTGGGGGCCACTCTTATGTGGTGTGTGGGCTTCTCATTGCGGTGGCCTCTCCTGTTGCCGAGCACAGGCTCTAGGCGTGTGGGCTTCAGTAGCTGTGGCACAGGGGCTCAGTAGTTGTGGTGCACGGGCTCAGTAGCTGTGGCTTGCGGGATCTAGAGCGCAGGCTCAGTAGTTGTGGCGCATGGGCTTAGCTGCTCTGCGGCATGTGGGATCTTCCCGGACCAGGGCTCGAACCCATGTCCCATTCATTGGCAGGCGGATTCTTAACCACTGTGCCACCAGGGAAGTCCCCATTTTATTTTTTTTAGATTCCATATATATGCGTTAGCATACGGTATACAAATTTGATTTTTTAAAGTTGAGGTAAAATTCACATGACATAATGTTAACCATTTTAAAGAAAACAATTTAGTGGTATTTAGTATATTCACAATGTTGTGCAACCACTACCTATATTTATTTCAAACAATTTTCATCATCCTTAGAGGAAACTCCATACTGATTTTTAAATTTGATTTGATAAAGGCTGATTTATCATAAAAGTGAAAGCTGGGCAACTTACCACTGTTTTCCCCTAACCTAGCTGTGCTTCAGAATCACCTGGTGAGAATGAAATGCAAACCCTCGAGTCCTACTCTAGGAGGTTTTGATTCCGCTAGGGTGGGGCCCAGGAATCTGTACTTGTCAAGCCTAGAGGGCTTGTGATGTTATGTGGGTCTTTGTGCACCACCCTTTAGCTTCCACCCTCCCACTTTGTCCTTTTTTCCTCTCCTAGTTTCACCCGTGCACCACTTCCTCCAACTGCCCCTTGCATTTATGTGATGAATATTTTTCACACTCATAGTGTGAAATGAACGTTTTAAGTGCTATGAGTGCTGTTGAAATAATTAAGGAGCTTATGGTCTAGCTCCTTATTCTGGTAACAGAATTTGTCATGGAAGTAAGATGGAATGTATTTTCATTCTTACATAATCTTGAGAAGAGATAACATCTTATTGACTTATTCACATTCCTGTGTCAAGCAGTAGTTGCCTTTTAAGACCACAGAAACCAGCTTCAAATAATGAATTCACTACATTTTAAGCACCACAAGGACAGTGATCATACCTGTCTTGTTCAATGCTGTATGCCAAGCTCTTGCACACTGCTATATGGGAACTTAGCACCTATTGAATGAATAAGTTATTTTCTTGGGGTTTGGGTTTTGAAATTTGCTAAGCATTGGAGGTATTTAACAACAATTATGAAATATATACCACATGGTCTCAGTATTTTTCCCCACAAATATTTAAAGAGTTTAGGAAGTAATGCCAAATGATTTGCATTTTGCTGTTCAATTTTTAGGTATTTTCTATAAGCTCCTTTTAAGAATATATACTTTTATACTTTAGTGTCTTCATAAGCAGATTCATGCTTTATTCTTTCAATCAGCAAATATCTGTTGAGAATTTACTATATGCCAGACACTGTTCTAGACTCTTGAAATACAACAGGGAACAAAACAGACCAAAATCCTTAGGCATTTAGAGCTTACAACCCTTGCTTTTTTTTTTTTTTAATAACTTTTATTGAAATATAGTTGATTTACAATGTTGTGGGGTTTTCTTGTTTTTTTGGCTGCATTGGGTCTTTCTGGTGTGCAGGGGCTTCTCATTGTGGTGGCTTCTCTTGTTGCGGAGCACGGGCTCTAGGCACCGGCTTCAGTAGTTGTGGCACGCCCACTCAGTAGTTATGGCTCGCGGGCTGTAGAGCACAGGCTCAGTGGTTGTGGCTCACGGGCTTAGTTGCTCCGCGGCATGTGGGATCTTGCCCGGCCAGTGCTCGAACACGTGTCCTCTGCTTTGGCAGGTGGATTCTTAACCACTGCACCACCAGGGGAGTCCACAACCCTTGCTTTTTATTTTTTTAAATTTATTTATTTATTTATTTATTTATTTATTTTGGCTGCGTTGGGTCTTCGTTGCTGCGTGTGGGCTTTCTCTAGTTGCAACGAGCAGAGTCTACTCTTCATTGTGGTGCGTGGGCTTCTTATTGCGGTGGCTTCTCTTGTTGCAGAGCACGGGCTCCAAGCAGGCAGGCTTCAGTAGTTGTGGCTCCAGGGCTCAGTAGTTGTGGCTCATGGGCTTCAGTAGTTGTGGCACACGGGCTCAGTAGTTATGGCTCACGGGCTCTAGAGTGCAGGCTGAGTAGTTGTGGCACACGGGCTTAGTTGTTCCGTGGCATGTGGGATCCTCCCGGACCAGGGCTCGAACCCGTGTCCCCTGCATTGGCGGGTGGATTCTCAACCACTGAGCCACCAGGGAAGCCCAACCCTTGCTTTGATAGATAGACAGATAGATAGATAGATAGAACACAGATAAAGCAAATGGAGTAAAGTGTTAACTATAAGGTATATCTGGGTAAAGGGTATACAGGTATCCCTTGTCCTATTTTTTTTTAAATATAGTTATTTATTTAGTTTTTGGCTGCATTGGGTCTTCGTTGCAGTGTGTGGGCTTCTCATTGCAGTGGCTTCTCTTGTTGTGGAGCACAGGCTCTAGGCGTGCAGGCTTCAGTAGTTGTGGCACACGGGCTCAGTAGTTGTGGCTCACGGGCTTAGTTGCTCCGTGGCATGTGGGATTCTGCTGGACCAGGGCTCGAACCCGCGTCCCCTGCATTGGCAGGCGGATTCCCAACCGCTGTGCCACCAGGGAAGCCCCAACCCTTGCTTTTTAAACGTAGCTTTATTGTGGGGTTTTTTTTTTTTTGAATTAGTAGACTATTTTTTAGAATAGTGTTTTTTTTTTTTTTTTGAGAAAAGCCAGCATAAGGCACTTTCATTGCAATAATGAAACTCATATGTAGTGCTGGGGGTAGCGGTAGGGGTGCGGGAGTAGGCAGCAATTTCTCTCACCAGATCACTACACGGGACAGCAAAGGGGTGAGAGGGGGTGAAGGAGAAGCCAGCAAACTCTGAGATCAGCACGGGGAGCTGAGCATCAAAAAACAGGAGATGCTGAAGCTGTGATGACCAGCTTCATTTTCTTAAGACAACACTCAGGGATTTGTCATGATGGCTGGGCTTTCATGGGTGTTAAGTGTCTACAAACAGCACCTTCAATTTAACTTTCGATTGAAATTCTTAAAATTTAGGAAGTGGAGCTTGGATAGCTATGAGATTACAAAAGTCCTAAATATCCATTAGAAAAACCAGAGGATGGAAAAAGAAAAAAAAAAAATCCAGGCCATGAATAAGGCTTCAGAGGTCCAGGGATAGACACCTGTAGTGTCCAACATCTCAGTGAAAACGATCTGTTTTCAAAAGGCAGAGGGTTACGGGGAGGGTGGAGGTGGGACAGTGGAGGCAAAGGCTCTCCCCTTCCCACTTTAGTTTTGGGTAGGGCTTTTAATTCAGCCCGAGGACGTTGCTTAACTTCGAGAATAATTCGGCCCTCAAAAGCACGTCAAATCTGCTATGGCTTTGCAGTTGCAACAGCAAGAATGTTTAATATATAATAGATAAAACTTTCATCCAAAAAAAATATATATAGATTATTGCCCCCCGCCCAACAATTCCTATTCTAAAGTTAACCCATTACTTGTGCTGTTAATACTTGAATAATACGTAACTGGAAACCTAGATCCAAAGGACTGAAACCCAGTGTTCACCCTCAAATGAAAACAAACTAAAATGGGTAACTTGAGGTTTATGGCATATAGTTCAGGTCAACACACATACAAGGAGAAACGGGAAGAACAAAGCCGGTGACAACACATTCAGTCAGGGAAGATATTTATACAGAGTGTAGTGGAACATCAGGGAAAGCTCCGTACAGACTCGCTGTGCTCATCTGGAGGCACCAGATCCTTCCATGGCACATCCAAGAATGGGGAGCTCAGGGAGGAGTCCATTCCTGACATTCCAGTTTTAGAAGCTCCACGTCAAAGATGAGAGTGGCATTAGGTGGGATGATGCCTGGGTGCCCAGTGGCACCGTAGGCATAGTCTGGGGAGATAGCTTGGCTCTCTGACCCACGCTCATCTGGGCAGCCCCTTCTTCCCAGCCTCGGATCACTTCCTGCTTGCCCAGAACAAACTTAAAGGGCTTGTTTCTGTCCCAGGAGGAATCCAGCTTCTTTCCATCTTTAGGCATCCCCGTGTAGCGCACCACGCAGGTCTGGCCGCGCTTTGGGAAGGTGCGCCCCTCTCCGGGGGAGATGGTCTCCGCCTGCACTCCCATGGCAGTGGCAGTGGCAGTGGACGCCGGGTGGGCAGGCGGCGCAACAGGTGGCGTGGACCGACAGTGGATCTGGTGGCAGTTCCGTGGCTGTGCCAGAATAGTTTTAGGTGCACAGAAAAATTGAGCCGATGATGCAGAGAATTGCCGTGGTACTCCCCACACCCCCCGCAACAGCAGCAACGCACGAGTCTCCCCTGTTGTTAATGCCATGTGCTAATATGGTATATTCGTCACAGTTAATAATCGATGCATTATTGTTAACTAAAGTTCATACTTGATTCAGATTTCCTTAGGTTTTTTTTCTCTTTTTAAAAAATATCCTGTTTTACCTTTGGGTAGCAATTATATTTAAAGCACAGTCATCTCTGTCACATTATTGATCCTGCATCATCCCAGTGAAGCCCAGTGGGCTTCAAATGACCCCCTTTATTTATTTATTTATTTATTTCTCCACCACGTGGCTTGTGGGATCTTAGTTCCCTGACCAGGGATTGAACCCACACCCTTGGCAATGCAAGTGTGGAGTCCTAACCACTGGACCTCCAGGGAATTCCCCCAGATTTCCTTAGTTTTTACCTAATACCCATTTCTGTTTCAAGAGCCCATCCGGGATACCATGTTACATTTAGTTGTTATGTCTCCTTAGGCTTTTCTTGACTGTGACAGTTTCTCAGACTTTCCTTGGTTTTGATGACCTTAACAGTTTTGAGGAGCACTGGTCAGGTATATTGTGGGAGGCTCCTCTATTGGAATTTTTTTTTTCAGCAGCAGAACTTAAGTTTATTAAAACAGCTATGACAAGTATAACAAAATCTACATCTGCCTGTGCTAGGCCAGTGTAGTTCTGTACAAACAACAAGATAATGCAGATAATGACAGTTAACACTTTGAAAGCATAGTATACAAAACAACATATCTTCATCAAAAAACAAACAAAACCCTTCATAAAAGTGGGGAAAAAAATTCTCCCCGCGCCCCCCAAAGGAGGTCTTCACAGGCTGGCCAGCTCCATCCCAACTCTGAGGTATCAAAGGAGTTCCAAGTGCAAACTGAAGGGATGAACAAGCAACTCCCCCACTCCCACATCCATTAAACACACAATCCAGCTGATCTTGTGGTAGAGTGCCTTTTCATGGAATGATTCAACAATCATAGATAAAAAAATATGGAATGCTTCGCGAATTTGCGTGTCATCCTTGCGCGGGGGCCATGCTAATCTCCTCTGTATCGTTATAATTTTAGTTTATGTGCTGCCGAAGCGAGCACTGGAATTTATCTAATGTTTTTCTCATGATTAGACTGGAATTAGAGGTTTTGGGGAGGAAGACCACAGAGGTAAAGTGCCGTTTTCCTCACTTAGTATCAAGGGCACATACTATCAGCGTGATTTATGACTGTTCATGTCGATCTTGTTCACTGTAGTGAAGTTGTATTTGTCAGGTTCCTCTACTGTAAAGTTACTCTTTCCACCCCTTTCTGTACCATACTCTTTGGAAGAATGTCACTGTGTTTAGCCTAGACTTAAGGAGTCTGGAGTTATGCTCCTCCTCCTTGAGGGGAGAGTATCTTCATAAATTATTTGTGATTGTTATGTATGGGAGATGTGTCTATTCTCCCCCATTTATTTATTTATTAAGTCATTTATGTCAGCATGGACTCATGGGTATTTATTTATATTTTGGTTATAATTCAATACTACTTTATTTTGATGCTCTAATTGTTTTGCCTTCAGTCATTGCGAACTCTTTCAGTTGGCTCCTGTGCCCCTTTAACATTCCTGTCTCATCGTGGGTTTTTTGTTTTTTCTTTCTGAGCACTTCCTTACTTTCTGGCCCTACAGGATGTTCCAGGTCCATCTTGTATGCCCCATTCCTGGAATCAACCATTTCTCTAAGGGGTACTGGTTTCTTTTATTGGGAGAGTGGCATTTGAAAACAAGATCTGGCTTTAATGTGTTTCCCCTCTTCACCTTCTTTTTCTGTTCTAGCTACCGTGGTTTTGGAATACAGCGGCCACGTCAACAACAGCAGCCTTTTCCAAATAGTGATGCTGTCTTGAATTGCCCTGCCTGCATGACCACACTGTGTCTTGATTGCCAAAGGTAACGGATAAAGGGTAACAACACACACACACACACACAGACACACACACACACACACAGACACACACACACACACACATGCACACACATGAAAAAAACCACTTGGTAGTCCTTGTTTAAATCAGAAATAGACTTTTGAGGTACTTAGGAATTCTGATAAAGTTCTGTCCTCATATATCCCTGGTGCTGCATGACTAATCTTTATACAAATAATTTTTGTTACACGTAGTCTGTTATAAATAGGTTTTCTAATAAAGTACTTGCCAGTACTGATAAGGGTTCAGTAAAATTGCATATATGTTGTGGAATGACAAAATCTCTCAAATACACTAATTTTTTTTTTCTGTTGTGATAAAATACATGTAACATAAAATTTACTATTTTAACTGTCTTAAAAATTTTGCTGTAAAAGAGTACTTCATTTTGAATATTCAATTTATTGTCTAGACCATTTAAAATTTTTAAAAAATTTATTAAAAAAATTAATTTAGTTTTTAATTTAAAAAAAAATTTAAAATTAATTTTTATTTATTTGGTTGTGCGAGGTCTTAGTTGCGGGAAGCGGGCTCCTTAGTTGTGACTCTCAGCCTCCTTAGTTGTGGCATGTGAACTCTTAGTTGCGGCATGCATGTGGGACCTAGTTCCCTGAGCAGGAATCGAACCCGGGCCCCCTGAATTGGGAGCACGGAGTCTTAACCATGTCGCCACCAGGGAAGTTCCTATTTTTAATTTTAAATAAAGCTGTTTTCCCAGCTTTATTGAGATGTAATTGACATACAACATAGTATAAGCTTTAGGTATGACAGTGTAATGATTAGATATTCAAATATATTGCAGAATATTTACCACAATAAGGTTAGTTAACACAGCTGTCACCTCACATAGTTACCTTTTTTTGTGTGTGTGTGGTGAAAACTTTTAAGATTTACTCTCAGCAGTTTTCAAGTATGCAGTATAGTATTGTTAACTGTAGTCATCATGCTGTACCTTACATCTGCTGAACTTATTCATTATAAGTACCTTTTGACCACCTTCATCCATCTGCCCTTCCCCACCAACCACCAGTTACTTTGTTTCTATGAGTTCAGTTTTTTTTTAGATTCCACATATAAGTGAGATCATACACTATTTGTCTTTCTCTGTCTGACTTTTTTTACTTAGCATAATGCCTTCAAGGTTCATCCATGTTCTTACAAGTGGCAGGATTTTTTTCTTTTTTTATGGCTGAATAATATTCCATTGTATATACATACCGTATTTTCTTTATTCATTCATCTGTTGATGGACATGTAGGTTGTTTCCATGTCTTGGCTATTGTAAGTAAGGCTGCAGTAGGTTTCTGGGAGGAAGACCACAGAAATAAAGTGCCATTTTCATCACATTATGTCATGGGCACAAACTATCAACATGATTTATGACTTTTTTTTTTTTTTTTTTTTTGCGGTATGCGGGCCTCTCACTGCTGTGGCCTCTCCCATTGTGGAGCACAGGCTCCGGACACACAGGCTCAGCGGCCATGGCTCACAGGCCCGGCCGCTCCATGGCATGTGGGATCCTCCCGGACCGGGGCACGAACCTGTGTCCCCTGCATTGGCAGGCGGACTCTCCACCACTGCGCCACCAGGGAAGCCCAATTTATGACTATTAATGTTGACCTTGATTACCTGGCTGAGGTGGGGGCCCAGATATCTCTTTGAGATAGTGATTTCATTTCCTTTGTATACATACCCAGAAGTGGGATTGCTGGATCAAATGATAGTTCTATTTTTAACTTTTTGAGGCTCCTCTATACTGTTTTCCATAGTGGCTGTACCAATTTACATTCCCACCAGTAGGGCACAAGGGTTCACTTTTGTTATTTCTTGTCTCTTTGATAATACCTTTTCTAACAGGTATGAGGTGATACCTTATTGTAGTTCGGATATGTAGTTCCCTGATGATTTGTGATATTGAGTACCTTTTCGTGTGCCTGTTGGCCATTTGTATATCTTTTTTGGAAAAATGTCTATTCAAGTCCTTTGCCCATTTTTTAATCGGATTTTGTTTGTTTTTTGCTACTGAGTTGTATGAGTTCCTTGTATATTTTGGATATTACCCCCTTATCAGATATATGATTTGCAAATATTTTTTACCATTCCATAGGTTGCCTTTTTATTTTGTTGATTGTTCTTTGCTATGAGAAGCTTTTTAGTTTGATGTAGTCCCACGTGTTTATTTTTGCTTTTGTTTCTTGTGCTTTAGGTGTCAGCTCCAAAACATCATTGCCAAGACGAATGTCAAGGAGCTTTTTCCCTATGTTTTCTTCTATGAGTTTTATAATTTCAGATCTTACATTTTAGTCTTTAATCTGTTTCAAGTTAATTTTTGTCAGTGCTGTAAGTTAAGGGTCCAGTTTCAGTTTTTTGTGTATGAATATCCAGTTTTCCCAATACCATTTATTGAAGAGACTGTCTTTTCCCCATTGAATATTCTTGACTCCCTTGTCAAATATTAGTTTATGGTGTATGCGTGGGTTTATTTCTGGGCTCTTGATCCTGTTCTGCTGATCAATGACTGTTTTTATGCCAATCCCATACTGTTTTGATTACTATAGCTTTGTAGTATAGTTAGAAATCAGGACGTGTGATGCTCCAGCTTTCTTCTTCTTTCTCAAGATTGCTTTGGCTATTTGGGGTCTTTTGTGGTTCCATAACAAATTTTAGGATTTTTTTTCTATTTCTATGAAAAATGTCATTGGAATTTTGATAGGGATGACATTGAATCTATAAGTGGCTTTGGGTACCATGGACATTGTAGCAATATTAATTATTCCAGTCTATGAAAGCAGGATATCTTTACACTTGTGTTTTCTTCAATTTCTTTCATCGGTGTTTCATAGTTTTCAGTGTATAGATCTTTCACCTCCTTGGTTAAATTTATTCCTAAGTATTTTATTATTTTTGATGCTGTTGTGAATGAGATTGTTTTCTTAATTTCTCAGTTTCTTAGTGAAAATGCAACAGATTTTTATTGTTTTGTATCCTGAATCTTTACTGAATTTGTTTATTTAACATTTTTTTGGTGGAGTCTTTAGAGTTTTATATATATAAGATTGTGTCATCTGCAAACAGAGACAATTTTACTTCTTCCTTTTCTATTTGGACACCTTTTCTTTCTTTCTTTTTTTCTTTCTTCCTTTTCTTTCTTTTTTTCTTTCTTTCTTTTCTTTTCTTTCTTTCTTTCTTTTTCTTCTTTCTTTCTTTCCTTTTTTTCTTCTTTCTTTCTTTCTGCTTTCCTTCCTTCCTTTCTTCTTTCTTTCTTTCTTTCTCTTCCTTCCTTCCTTCCTTTCTTTCTTTTCTTTCTTTCTTTCTTTCTTTCTTTCTTTCTTTTTCTTTCTTTCTTCCTTTCTTCCTTTCTTCCTTTCTCCCTCCCTCCCTCCACCCCCCTTCCTTCCTTCCTTTCTTTTTTTTTTTAACCTGCTTGCTTTGGCTAAGATTTCCAGAAATACGTTGACTAGGAGTGCTAAGAATGGGCACTCTTATCTTGTTCCCTATTTTAACCATTTTAAGTGTACAATTCAGTAACATGAACTACAGTCAGAATTGTACAGCCATCATGACTATCCATTTCCAGAACTTTTTCGTCATGCCAGACAGAAACTCTGTACCCATTAGACAATAATTCCCTATTCTCCACCCCTACTCACCCCAGCCTCTGGTAATCTCTATTCTACTTTCCTTTTTGGATTGTTCATTGCTAGTGTATACAAACACAACAGATTTCCATGTGTTCGTTTTGTACTCTGCAACTTTGCTGCATTAGTTTATTAGCTCTAATAGTTTATTTGTGTAATCTTCAGAGTTTTCTACATATAATATCATGTCATCTGTGAACAAAGAAAATTTTACTTCTTCCTTTCCAATTTGGATGCCTTTTCTTTTTCTATTTTTTTTTAATGAATTTATTTATTTATTTTTGGCTGTGTTGGGTCTTCATTTCTGTGCGAGGTCTTTCTCTAGCTGTGGTGAACGGGGGCCACTGTTCATTGCGGTGCATGGGCCTCTCACTGTTGCGGCCTTCTCTTGTTGCGGAGCACAGGCTCCAGACGCGCAGGCTCAGTAGCTGTGGTGCGTGGGCTTAGTTGCTCCGCGGCATGTGGGATTTTCCCAGACCAGGGCTCGAACCTGTGTCCCCTGCATTGGCAGGCAGATTCTCAACCACTGCGTCACCAGGGAAGCCCTTATTTCTTTTTCTTACGTAATTGCTCTGATTAGAACTTCCAGTACTTTGTTGAATAGAAGTGGTGAAAGCAGGCGTTTTTGTCTTGTTCTTGTCTTACGGGAAAAGTTTTCAGTCTTTCATCATTAAGTATGATGTTAGCTATGAATTTTTCATGTGTGGTCTTTATTACATTGAGGAGGTTTCCTTCTATTCTTAGTTTATTGGGTGTTTTTATCACGAAAGAGTGTTGAATTTTTCAGATTTTCTTTATGCATCAATTGAGATGATCATGTGTTTTTTTCCCTTATATTCTATTAATCCAAATATACTTTTGCCCTTTTCCTCTTCTTTTCTTTTTTTTCTTTTCTCTTTTTCTGGTAGCCTTATAAATGTCTGGCTTAGTCCATGTTCTGAATCAGGCTAACTGAAATAAAATGATGATGTTAGGTAGTGGATTTGTTCTAGTCACTAATGGGAAGCCAGATGTAATTTACTCTTATTAGCTAGCTTGAGGTTTCTGATCAGTTGCAACAATTAATTTTTGTACTCTCCATATGAGCTGTTAAGCTTTTGGTATATAAATTGACACCTAGAATATGCAATAAAGAAAAAGTAAAATATCTTTGTACTTAAGTTGCTTCTCTTTTAAATTAAACCATGTTACCATGTTACAGGGTTCCTATACCCAAACAAAGTTGCTTCATGATCTAACAGTAGAAATTGGGCTTGGTAAAAATTGTGTTCCATATTAAGACAGAATTCCAGTACGGTGGAGTATAAATGAAATTTTTATGGTTTCATCTTGAGAAACACCAGCCTGGTAGTGGTGGTGGTGGAAGAGGAGATGATCAGCATTCAGAACTAATGAAGGCATAACTTGACTTCACTGTTTTTAACCAGATAGATATTTCTGTTGCATGATGTTTAAGGGGGAAAAAAAGGAAAAGAACTTACTAAGTTAAGAAAGAAGTAGGAAAATATTAAGTGTATGAGGAGAACAAAGAAAACATTATCTATTCTTTAGACTGTTGGAGTAAAGCTAAGAGTGGACATTATAAACCAGATGCTCTTTAAGCTTCTAAAACTGTAGCTTTTACTAAAATAGTGACCAGAATGGCACTACCTAGTAGTGAGAGGAGGGCAGAGTCTCAGGTCACAACAAGAAAAAGACACAGTCAAAGATTTTTTAAACATTACCTCTCAGGTTTCCAATAGCTTTTCTTGTCTAAGGTGGAAGAGCAAATCAAAACATTTTTTTCTGAGATAAAAGTTACTTATAGAGCAGTAGAAAAGAGGATATATTCATCAGTATCTGTTAACAAGTCTCTTCCTGTTCTTAAAGTAACTCTTAAATATTCTTTAATTTCCTGTTTTGTTCTCATGTTTTTACTTTGGTTGGTATTTCAGTAAGTTTTTGGTATTCTCACATTTTATCTAAATATGTAACTATTAAAATAGAATGTAAATCCAAATTCTCCATTTCATTTTCCTCTTAGGCATGAATCATACAAAACTCAGTATAGAGCAATGTTTGTAATGAATTGTTCTATCAACAAAGAAGAGATTCTAAGATACAAAACCCCAGAGAACAGGAAGAAAAGGCGAGGCCATAAGAAGATGAGGTCTAACCAAGAAGATGCTGTGGAGCAGGCAGAGACAGATGTGGAAGAAATCTATCACCCAGTCATGTGCACTGAATGTTCCACCGAAGTGGCGGTTTATGACAAGGATGAAGTCTTTCATTTTTTCAACGTTTTAGCAAGCCATTCCTAAATAGCTAAGTTGGCATTTAGTTGCCCAGTACTGTATACAAGGCAAATATGGACAGTTATATTCCCCCTGCCTGCTCATCTCAAGTGACATTCTGAGTGGTTATTTGAGGAAGCAGTGCTTTATCTTTATCTTTTTGAGAAAAAATGGTTATCTACCTTCATCCCTCCCCTTGCTTTTTAAAAAAAATGTTTCCCCAGCTCTGATGGGACTCGTTATTCATTCTCTTTTTGATAGATATTTGGAAACTGGGGCTTTTTTATTTATTAAAGCTCTTTAGAATTAAAATGTTCTGGAGTTGCAGGTAACTTTTGTTTCAGAGTGTTATTTTTATTTTTTATTTTGGATATACCCTTGGTGTGCTTAATCTAGAAACCGTTTCCTCACTTCTGTCTATATATATATATATATATATATATATATATATATATATTTCTTTTTTAAAATTGCGGTATAGATGCTTTACAACGTTGTGTTAGTTTCTGTTGTACAACTAAGTGAACCAGCTGTATGTATACATATATCCCCTCCCTCTTGGACCTCCCTCCCACCCTTTCTGTCTATATTGTTTTTGCTAAGAAGTATCATTATTTCCCTTCTAACCCATAGGATGGAGTGAACAGTATTTAGTAACTGTTACAGTTACATGAAGTTAGTATTGGAGTGCCTTGAGTAATTAACATAGGTCTTTCCTTAAAAGTGTGGTACTTAATCAGTATTCTAAACTTAATGAATTAACACAGTAAAATAGAAATTTGTGGTAAGGAAGAGCAAACTCACCCTCCAGCCTTAGACTTAAAAATGTTGTTGCTGTTGCTTGTGCTACCATTTATTCCGGAATTTCTCTTGCCAGCAATGAAGGTATGTTTGTTTTTGCTCTTAATAATAGAAAAATTATTAGTGGCGCTTGGAGGAAATTGCATTTTAGGCATCTGTACATTTTAGCTTTTTAAAAGAATATGATTGGGGCTTCCCTGGTGGCGCAGTGGTTGAGAGTGCACCTGCTGATGCAGGGGACATGGGTTTGTGCCCTGGTCCGGGAAGATCCCACATGCCGTGGAGCGGCTGGGCCCGTGAGCCACGGCCGCTGAGCCTGCACGTCTGGGGCCACAGCAGTGAGAGGCCCACATACTGGGAAAAAAAAAAAAAAAAGAATATGATTGGACTGTTTCCAAAAACAACATTGGGAAACTCACGGTCCTCTTGTTATTTTAATAGACATGTGATTGAGTGGAAAGAAATCAGAAAATAGGTTTTAATTCAGGCTCAGCAACGCTAATCTTTGGCAGGTCTGTTCCTTTGAGTCCCAGTTTTCCACTTATAAAATGAAAAGGTTGGAGGAGAGCAGTGATTCCCCACAGAGGTCAGGGCTCAACAGGACTTGACGGGGACCTCTGCATACTCCCTCAGACAATGATACACCTCCAGAAGGGAAAACATATCCTTTCCACCTCCTTGTATTTTGCACTTTCTAAAAGCTACACATAAGGTGAACCGGAACCAGTGATGGTGTGGTGTTGGTAAGAATTAGATGGAGGTAAAAAAATGATAAAGAATCTGCTTTTAGGAAATTTCCAATGTCTTAATAGCATACTTGATAATTTTTATGGTATGCTGATATCTGTCCAATTGGAAGCAATATATATACTTTTAAACATTTCAACGTGTTGCCAGATGATAACGTTACAGAATAACACTGTTAGTCTGTTTATTTATTTTATTTTATTTTTTTTGCGGTACGCGGGCCTCTCACTGTTGTGGCCTCTCCTGTTGCGGAGCACAGGCTCCGGACGCGCAGGCTCAGCGGCCGTGGCTCACGGGCCCAGCCGCTCCGCGGCATGTGGGATCTTCCTGGACCGAGGCATGAACCCGTGTCCCCTGCATCGGCAGGCAGACTCTCAACTACTGCGCCACCAGGGAAGCCCTAGTCTGTTTATTTTAACCTTGTGTTTGCCTTATTGTAACTTTGCAAGATGTCTTTCTGTCTTACTATCATTGCAAACCCTACTTTCTTCCTAGATTGCTCCACCACCCTCATTGTACCCTTATTTCCACTTCAGTAGGAGGATCTCAGTGGTCTTATACGTAAAGATCACCTGGAGCAGATATTAAAAAGGCACATTGTTGGAGGCCCTACTCAGAATGTGACTAAATAATAAACATGAGGCAGGAAATCACAATTTCCAAAGATATAGTTTGTAACAGTAACAACATAAAGGGGAAGGACAGAACTGTATAGAATCAGAGTTTTGTATACTACTAAAGCTGAGTTCAAGCTAGTTTCTTAGAAATGTAAGATGACAGTTGTAATCCAAAGGGTAACCATGAAGATGTTGCAACAAGAAGAAAATATAAAGTGATCCATGAATAGACTATAATACATTTAAGTATTACAAAATATAAAACTATGTACAATTATTCTTTATGTCCCTTAACTTAAAAAAAAATCCTTGAAATATTACTTAAAGGAGATTGGTGGTCAACACTGTTTTGACTTCAAGCAGAGAGGGCTTCAACAATTTTTCTCCTTTTTTTTTTTTTTTTGTCTGTGCCCCTTGGCATGCGGAATCTCAGTTCTTCGACTAGGGATCAAATGCGTGCCCCCTGCAGTGGAAGCATGGGGTCTTTTTTTAAAAAATTAAATTAATTAGTTTTAGCTGTGTTGGGTCCTTGTTGCTGCATGCAGGCTTTCTCTAGTTGCAGTGAGTGGGGGTTACTCTTCATTACAGTGCACCGGCTTCTCATTGCGGTGGCTTCTCTTGTTGCGGAGCATGGGCTCTAGGCACGCGGGCTTCAGTAGTTGTGGCACGAGGGCTCAGTAGTTGTAGCTCGTGGGCTTAGTAGTTGTGGCTCGCGGGCTCTAGAGCGCAGGCTCAGTAGTTGTGGCTCACAGGCTTAGTTGCTCCACGGATTCTGGGATCTTCCCAGACCAGGGATCAAACCCATGTCCCCTGCATTGGCAGGTGGATTCTTAACCACTGTGCCACCAGGGAAGTCCCAGAAGCACAGTCTTAACCACTGGACTGCCAGGGAAGTCCCTACCTCAGTTTTAATGCATACCTTTGAGTATTTTTTCTTTTGTTTTCTTAGGATGCTGTTATTTACAATTTGATTACATTCAGATTATTCAACAATCATAGTGCTTTTCACCATAACCTTCTCACATTTTGTAATTTTAATTGTTTTCCTCTAATCTGTGTGTTAAACAGCTACACATGAACCTTAAAGGACCACTTGTAGCCTTAATCTGCCCCAATTCCTTTTTTAAGTGAAGCATAAATTATTTAATATTTAAATGAGGCTTAAATAAACATGTGGGCCTAGCTTGGCTCACTGTATTAGTTTTTATTGCTGTGGAACAGATGACCACAAACCTAGTGGCATAAAGTGACATATATTTGTCATCCCATAGTTTTTGTGAGTCAGGAGTCTGGGCATGGCTTAGCAGTGTCCTCTGCTGAGGGTCCAAGAAGGTTGTAATCAAGTTGTTGGCTAGGTTGGAGTCTTATCTGGAGACTTGACTGGGGAAGATTCCACTAGCTGCTCCACTTCCAAGCTACTGCAAGTTGTTGCAATGTTGTAGGACTGAAGTTGCTGTTTTCTTGCTGGATGTAAGCCAGGGGCTGCTCTTGAGAGGTGGCCTCCTGTCTCTAGATATGGAAATACAGCATTAGATACACTACTTGTTAAATCTGTCACTTATGTTTTAAAGGGTGCAGGATGTATTTAGGCTTATATGTTTTGCATTTCCATGTATATCATACACGAACTGTTTGTGCTTGCTTCTTTTTTTTTTTTTTTTTTTGATTGCACCTCATAGCATGCAGGATCTTAGTTCCCCAGCCAGGGATGGAACCTGTGCCTCCTGCAGTGGAAGCACAGTTTCTTAACCACTGGACAGCCAGAGAAGTCCCTGTGTTTGCTTCTTTTCTGAGCTCCTCATCCTCCTAGCCCCTGGAAGTTTTGCCCTCACAACCCCCCAGCCCTCCCTTGCAGGAATCACTGCCCCCACCTCTCTGAACTATTATTAGTGATTTGGGACTGAAGGAGACAGGCAGTTAGGGAATGGAGGGAGAAAAGGGAGACCCTACCCTGTGTCATCAAATATTAAGATGCACCCATATCCAATGTTGAAAATTTTTCTCAAAAATTTTTTGAATGGATTATTCTTGTTTTTGAAATTATTTGAGTGTGTTGACTCATGATTTGATGTTTTAAGCAATCATTGTGCATATGTGAGAATTCCTGAGAAATGCAAAAAGCTAAAGTCCTTATT